ATTTAACACTGTGGCTGAATTCCTACATGCACATGTGTGTGATCAGTGTGCACATGTGAATGATCAGAAGTTCTAGATGTGCCTTTACCTGTGCCAGGTGTCTCAATTGACGGAAGGCCCTGCAGAAAGGTGGTCTTTATAAGGCACACATGATTTTAGTCTCTCTGTAGTTTTCAGATTTCATTTCCTTCTCTCCCTCCCTCCCCTGCCTTTTTCAACAAGACTCGAAGCAGATTACGAATTGCAGAGAACAATTCAATCAGACAGTCTTAAATCATCCAGTAAACAATGCAGCGGGATTTGGTATTACATAACTGGAAAAGTAATGCAAACCAAAAACTGTCTAAGACGTGACATACTATGATGCAGAAAGTGGATTACAGAGGCAGAAGATAATGCAGTAAAAGCCTGTGAAGTGAGACCCACTCACAGTTGGAGACCCATTTTATGTATTTATAAAATTTATTTCCCACCTTTCCGCCCTCAGAAGGGCCACCAAGGCAGCTAACAAAATTATTTATTTATTAAAGCATCTATATCCCGCCTTTCCTTGTGGTTCCAGGGATCTGACAACAACAGTTATAAAACTTTTTCCGGTTAGAAGCAAAGCAAAATCGCCAGCTCCAGATCTCTCCCCCTTGCACACCTTAAATGATGCCTGCCATTCAGAGCCCTCCGAAGCCCTGATAACAAAATCACATTTTAAGACCACCCCCCCACTTGAAAAACGCACATCACCAGAACAAATAAAAATACATCCAATACATGCAAAGACATAAAAGACAACAATGAAAACGTTGGTCAGGGAGAAAGGGTCACTGAGGGTATGTCGATTCAGCTTCCCCCCTCCCCTACACGCAACACAAAAAATCTTTACACATTTATCTCCTATTTTGCTGTTCTTCCCCCCCCCTTAATTAAATCAAAGCAGCTGTTGACCTTATAACCTTAGCTTGGTATTTAGTTTTGTCTTTGCACATCTTAAAACCAGAGGTCGATTCGGGGGGGATCGCGGGAGATCGCAGTTCCCCCGGGTGAGGTGCGGGGGGGCACATGACGAAGCCCCGCCCCCTGCTTCCGGCCACCCCGCTTCCGGCCCTCATTCAGCCAGGAGGAGGCAGGAGGAGGGTAAGTTGCTTCCTCCC